GCCTTTCAGATGGTTGTCCAGGTTTCGCACATCCCCTAAGCACCGAACGGCTCCGAACGCCCCACTCTGGTTTTGTTTGCCGTATAAGAAGTGCTCGGATCTAACTCTTATTTGCCTCTAACCCACGGGGGAGTACTGGGGATTGATGCTGCCATAATTTGTCACTGCCTAACTTCCTACCTGGTGACGGGAAAATGCATCACCGTGGTAAAACCTCAGAAGATTGGGTGGGGAAAAGGAGAAAGCTCCAGGTCTGAATTCTTACTTATGGTCTGGTCTGGGCTGCACCAGGCTTTTTACCAGCATAGCTCTGTTGGTCGGAGGTCTGTAGGAGTGATCCTTGACAGACATAGCTGTGCTGGCAGGTGTGTGTGTGTGTGTGTGTAAGAAGTGCAGCTGGAATAAGCTGTGCTGGTATAAATTGCATCCATCTATGAGGACTTTGCCAGTATGGAGTGTATCTAAGAACTCAAGTCACTGGCTTTGTACCTTTGGATACATTGTGAAAAACAATTACTCTTACTCTGCACTTCTCTAGCCACCTTTCATGCAGAAAGCGTCTTACAAATGCATGAGACACAATTCCCCTGGGGAGTAGGGCCTGTTTCCCGGGTGGGGAAACCGAGGCACTAATGCCACTTTCCCAAGGTCACGCAGCCTGTCAGTGGCAGAGCTGGGAAGAGAATCCAGGAGGCCTGTGGTCTCTCTGCTCAAGGTCCCCATGCCGCTTACTTGCGGTAGCAAAGGAGACAGGCGAGAAGGCAGGATATAGGGGAAGAGTGAAGAGACTGAAAGTGGCGCATGAGTGTGATTTATCAGAATATGGCTGCAAGGAAAGAGTGCTGGGGCACATTAGCTCATTGTCCTCAGAGGTGAGGTGTGAGCAGTGGGCTGGGAGCCAGGAACTCAGAGCTGTAATCCCAGCACTGATACCCCCATGGTTGCAGGATACTGGCCTCTGTGCCTCTGTTTCTCCATTGGTGAACCACGGACGATGATTCTGACCCCCAATTACAGCATGGGTTTAACTTATATTTGCAAAGTCGACTGAAATCAGAAAGGCCCATGTCAGTACTGCGAGTTAGTATGTTGCAAATGCGGTTATTAATATGACAAGCTTGGGAGTCCAGAAGGTAATGGAAAATAGCTTATAAGGTCACCTAGGAACTATGGTAAGCCCCAAGCTGTTCACGTGGCCATTTAGAATGTCACAGCAACTGTGGGAATAGACTCAGACCCCCTGGCACCTAAATCAAGGCCCTACCTTCTGACTTAAAGGAGAATCACCACTAGGTGTTAGCAGTATAGGGTCCATGACTTACAGCATTGTAGTTCTGATTCCATCCAACACGCAGAGCACATGAAGAAGTGAAAGCACTGCAAAGCAGGCTATACATGAAAAAGGTATGTGGTCTAGGGAAGGCTTCCTAGCCTTGAAAATAAGTGGTTATAGGTTCAAGTCCCACTTGATTATTTATAGAAAGGGGTAAAAATGCTCTGACTGGTGCTTTGCAGGAGACCGGAATAGTCCCTTCTGGCCTTAACCTCTGTGCAATCAGATTTTAATAACTTCCATTCTGCAGCCACCTTGCAAACCTGCAAAGAATTCACCCTGCCTTACCCTTCACTCTGCAGTGCCTTTTGCACTGAATATCACGTGTCCTTCAAAGTCTCAGTAGCAGGGACCGTGGATATCCTTGAGACTCCATTGGAGAGAACAATGGATACAGCCTTGAGCTTACAGGAGCACCAAGGAAGAAGTGGAGACAGAAGGATTTGAAGAAAGACTGAATTCACAGCCCCTTTGCATGGCCAGAACAATATAAGAATGGCCAGACTGGATCAGACCAATGGTCCATCTAGTCCAGTACCCTGGGTCAAACAGTGGCCAGTACCAGAGCTTCAGGGGGAGTGTACAGAACAGGGCAATTTTGGAGAGATCCACCTCGTGTTCCCCTCCCAGTTTCTGGCCCTCAGAGGTTTAGAGTGGCTGGATTATGGGATTGCGTCCCTGATCCTCTTAACTAATATCTTATTAGCTTATCTAGTTCTTTTTTGAACCCAGTTATGCTTTTGGGCATCACAATGTCCCATGGCAACGAGTTCCACAGGTTAATTGTGCATTGTGTGAAAAAGGACTTCCTCTTGTTTGTATTAAACCTGCTGCCTATTAATTTCATCAGTGAAAAACTGCCATAAATTGGGGAGAATGGGCCCAATTCTGATCTCACAGGCACTGATTTTAAAGCATTGCAACTCCACTGATTGCAATGGAGTTATACTCGATCACCATGGGGGTAACCGAGATCGGACTCAGGTCTGATGTTTCCTGCCTGTGGAGCAACCTGCACAGAACTTGGAGAGGAGGAGCAGAAGTTGCAGGAGGAAAGAGTTTGGAGGAGGTACCTGGAAGTCAGTCTGTGTACACATGGCTAGCATGCTAGCTGCAGCATTTGCGTGAACAGCTCTCCTAAGAAACAGTTTTAGAAACCTGGAGGCCTCTCATTTTATTACCCAGTGTGTGGTACCTGAAACAGACTCACAGTGGAGATTTAGTGCCTTATTCTCGTTTATATTCAGGCCCCATTTACAATCCTCTGGCAGCATAAAGGAGCCTTCAAGAGAGCAGTGATGACAATTGTACAGTAAGGTCCCTAGAGAGGAAGGATGTCCCAATGGTTAAGGACTTGAGAGACCTGGGTTCAATTCCCTGCTCTGACTCTGCGGGTGACCTTGGGAAAGTCATTTAGCCCCTCTGTGCTTCTGTTCCCCCTGTGGCACAATGGGGATAACAGCTCTGCCCTGCCTCACAGAGATGTTGTGAGGATAAATACCTTGAAGATGGTGAGATGCTTCAGTATTACTGGGATGGGGCCAGTTACATATCTTAGCCCCTGTTGCCAGCAGGGTGTAAAGGAGAATCAGGCCATAGATCTTGTCCACACCCAGGCTTAACTAACAGTGGGGTTGTTTTAAAGTCAACCAGTGAAAACCCTGGTTTATAGCAATTTAGCTCAAGTCGATTTCTTGCCTGTGAAGCTATTACATGCTGCCGCCTCCTATTGACAAGGAACCCACCTCAGATCCCCTTTACCTTCAATGGACCGGCATCTACAGAAGTGGGGCATCCCCAACTCTTTTACTAGGGATTGGGGTGAAGATTGAGTTCCATTGGATTCGTATGTTTCGGGTACTGCAAATACCGTAGGGTTTTAAATGCCAGGGTGCATGGAAGCCATGAAATGATTCAATTAAGTGAAAATGAGCTGGGAAGGAGGCTCTCTTCATCAAAGCAGGGATTCTGTCACCCGCTATCTTATCATTTACACCAGTGTGAAATGCTACCATGCGGGAATGGCAGCATTTTGCCTCAGGGTAAAGTGACTCCATGTGAAGGTGTGGAGCAATGGAGATTCTGGTTTCATAGGAAACCACCTGAAAGGCACAAGCGGCTTGAGCCATTTATGGCCTTTCAGAGAAGTGCTTGGAAAGAGAAGTGACTCATCAGGAGCAGAGCATGATGACTTAATGCATCCTGGACTCGATTCATCAGTAGATGATATCTTGCCAGTCCAGCCTCTCCTTACCTCCTGACCCTTTCTCTGTCCTCATTCATCTGCGGCTGGCTACCACTAGATGATTGCTAAACGGACCCATGGCAGGCACGTGGAACTTCATGGCAACAATGGGGACACAACCCAGGTCCTCTAGCACAAGAGCCTGCCACCTGAGTGACAGGAAGATCCCCATCAGCTGGCAGCAGTAAATGGCCTATGACACAGAGTGGAGCAGTGCTGGTTCCATCCAGCAAAGGACAGTGGCACACATGCGATATCATGACAATGTGTTGAAAAATGTGTTGAAAATCTACGCTGACTCACAGCCCTGTGCTCCTGCCACAAGCCCTTCCCCTTCCCAATTGCAGCAGAGTTAGTGACATCACTTGGTTCAGTATTACTCACTTAAAGAAACCAGCCTCACCTCTGTGCTTTGTGCACCAGGTCAGCTCAGAACAGGCTAGTGAAACCTGCTGGGTTCTGGGAGGGGCCCACGGTGCTGGGGCAGGCAGATACCAAGGGGATGGGCGCTGCTCAGACACTGGGGCTGCGTGGTGCAGGGGGAGGTTTATGTGGGTTGAACTGGGAGGCTGCATTGAGCAGACTGGGCCAGCAAGGGGTTTCCCCCTCATCACAGCCCAGCTGGGGCATCCCCCATTTATTTTCCCTCAGCCCTTTCACACACACTATCCATGCCCCACACCCAGGCCAGTAGCCAGGGCAGGGTAGCCAGAGAGAACCACAGGGGTTGTCAGTGTCCAGCAGCCTCCATAAAGTAAGCCACCCACCCACCCTGCTAGGACGCTCTCTGGGCCAGGGCGTCTTTCCATTATATATTTGTACATGCACCTAGAACGCCCTGTTTAGGCCACTAGCGTTATCCCAACACAGACAACCACCGCCACCAACGTCCATCACTTCCCACCACTGGCCCCCTGCAATGCGCCTGGTCCTAAAGGACTCTTGCCTCAGTGAGCAGCCCTCTTCCCACCCCCCCACCCCCAGCATCCAAGCAGGTGCCATAAAGTCAAGGGGATGCCCCCCCAACACACCCAATTCTGGGTTCAGAGCAACCCATGCAGGTGGCTTTTTTCAAGTGGGATCATGGATGATAATTATTTGCATTGCAGTAGCGCTGGGAAGCCCCTGTCTTGGCCCAAGATCCCACAGCACTAGGTGCTGTACGAATACAAAACAAACTCCCTACCCCGTAGAGCTTGCAATCTAAACATGTGCCATGGAAGGGGGATGGGGAAGACAGAGTTAGACCAGCAGGATCCAAACCCCGAGGATAGCTAAGCCAGGGGGCTCTGGTTCCGGGCCATCTCCGAGAGCAGCCAAGACTGGTAATAACTCATCTCCCAGCCCAGGCTGGGCAGGTGCCTCCCAGGGATGGAAGCAGTGAAGCCTGGTTGCAAAGAAAGCCCCAGGAGGAAAAGTTACCTTTAAAGAGATAATCATACTCATCATCCTTGCCACGCATCCTGCCGCCCGCTCTCTAGGTGAGGCTTCCTCCCCGTGCACACCTGTGCTCTGGTCCCCCTGCCCCCAGACTCTAGCACGGCTGATCTCAGCACTCTGGGATTTCCTGGGCTGGGCCAGTGACCCCCCCAGGGCAGGCCTCACCAAGCCTTCCCTGCACGCCCATTGGTCTGCTGCTCTCCGCCTCTCCTGCTCTGACTGGCCGGCGGGGCTGTCCCTCGCTGGTCAGGCTGGCAAGGTACTCACCTGGCACAGGTATGCAGGGTGGGGCTTGCATGATTTTTTTTTAAAGGAGCCATGTCTCTTTTTCCCTCTCTCTCTCTTGGGTGTGATGGGAGAGGGTCAGGAGGCAGATGAATGCGGTGGACAGAGCAGGGAGGCTGGCTCTCTTCCCTAGCTGGCAGCCTCTTTGAGGGAGAATTTGTAAAGCACACCCAGTGCCTGTCATATTCCTTTAACTCTTTGTCTTGAACACGCAGTCACATGGGGGGGAGAGATGGGGTGAGGGGGCTTTTGTGTGACTATGTTAATAAAATGATCTGCACACCACTGCCTCTGCTGGATGGAATCAGAACTGCTGGTCTGTGTGTCATAGACACTTCACTGCCCATGGCTCCTGAACTAGGAGGATCTTTGTTCTAGCTGCGATGGAGCAGCAAACGCACACGTGTGTGCTCAGACACATGCATACTCCCTCTCACTTGCACACTCATGTGCAGACACACACACAATTGGTTAGTCTCTAAGGTGCCACAAGTCCTCCTTTTCTTTTTGCGAATACAGACTAACATGGCTGTTACTCTGAAAAAAGGGTTAGAAGGGACCACAAAGGTCAAGTAGTCTAACCCTCTGCCAAGATGCAGGGTTTGTATGTTCACGTGCACACTCACACTCATGTTCACTCACTCACACACTTGTGTGATTGCATACACACTTGCTTTGCACACTTGTGCGGGTGCACTTGTACTCACTTGCACTCACACAGGTGCACACTCACATGCACACATGCATGCTCAATCATACTTGTGTGCATGCACACATCTGCATGCACACGTTTACACACATGCATTAATGCTTGTGCACACACACACACCACGTGGCTCTCACCAAAGTTTTGGGTTTGTTCCAATTAGCCCCAAAAATTCAGCACAAAGCCGGGCTGAATCAAGCCACTGGGCTTGGAACGGTTCCATCGACAAGCTCTGACCCAGCTCCCCGGGGCTGGCTGGGAAGCAGGGCCCCAGCTCTCGTCTCCAGGAGCCTTGCAGCTAATCTGACCAGACTTTCAGGTTGCTGGCTCATCGTGGGCCCCTGAGGCTGGTGTCATTAGCCAAGATCCCTGCAGCTCTAGGGAGGGGCTGATTGACATGGCTGCTCCCTGGGAGGTGGGTCTGTATGCAGTGAACTATGGTACAAACTCTGGCCTCTCTCCATCCCCCAGCCCCTATCCTGCCAAGTAAGCAGTTCAGCCCCCGCCCCCCCCAAACCCCGTAGCAGACCAACACTAAGGAGCCCCCATGGGCGAGATACAGTCTCTCATCCCCCATCCCTTAGCGTAACCAGCTCCTCTTGGGCTGCTAACAGGGCTTGAACCCAGGACTTTCAGAGCTCAAAGCAGGGAGCTGCGGCCAACCTCTCAACTTCTTCCATGGACCAGACACTAGAGGGCGACAATGAGACGCCCTCAGGGCTCCATTCGTTGAGAACGGCGGATGACTTATCAACCGCTTCTTCACACTGGCCACTAGAGGGCAACAAAGAGGCAAACTCTGAGCTAGGACGGCCCTTGGGTACTTAGAGTCGGACCCCCTGTTACCCAGAGCTCTGGGGGAACACCCATGACTTTCCGTGTGGCTGACCAGCAGGCTTTGAAGTCTGAGCTTAGAGTCCCCTGATGTGGAGTGCAGACTTCCAGGCCCTTTGGACCAGCTGCCTCTGTGCAAATCATGCCCTTGGCACCCCCTTTTTTCTCCTGGAGAGGGGTCCTCAGCGCGGGAATGGCCCTGCTCCCCAGCAGTGGCCTGGCAGGATGGCAGAACACTCTCCAGTCATGAGTGAAAGAAGTCTCCCAGCGCTGCAGGGAAGCGATCTCCATGGCCCTGTCACACCAGGGATGCTGTTGGCTAGTTTAGGACAGGACATGAAGGACAGTGCTGTCTCCCGTTGAAATGGCAGGGGGCATTCTGAGGGGGCAGCATTCTGTGGTTTGGATGGGGGCACTGGATGTTCAGGGCCTGGTTCTCCGTCCCCGCCAGGCTCTGCTGGAAGTGCAAAGGCGGCTTAGAGTGGGTCGAAACAGCCCCCAGAGAATCCCCTCTGTGCGAGCGGGCCTCCCCGTTCCATCTGAGTCAGGCCAGCGTCTGGAAGCGACGCGGGGCACGACCCGCATTGCTTGCCCGAGCCACCTGGGCCCTGGGACTGCAGGGGGCCAAGGGAAAGCACCAGCAGCGTGGTGCGGGCGTGTAGAGAGAGAGGGAAAGGAGGCGTGAAATCCTGAGGTCAGTTGTAAAACTCCCATTGACTTCAATGGAGTCAGCATTTCATCCTCTGTGTGTGCGCGTATGCATGTCTGTGTGTGTCTGGGCATGCGTGTGTGGCCGCGTCATGCTCTGGAAGGACCCCCTCGAGGGGTGAATTGGCCGCTCAGTCTCCATGGCCCGGTCTGATCTCAGCTTCCCAGCTGAAATGACCAGTAAAGCGCTAAGTCGTGCCAACGGGGGGGCCAGTTATTGTCATGTGGACGCTGTCTGGTGGACCCTAGACAAGGGGACTGATTTGCCCGGGCTGGGGCTTGGCCTGTGATGGCTAATACTGAAGCCCAGCTACCGCTCCAGTTCCCAAACGCTTGGCTCTCTGCTTGCCATGCTCTGCGCTCCTAAACTCTCGCTGTCCCCTCTGAGGGCACTGCGGAGGGGGGGGCCCAGGGCTAGCCAGCCGTTGTCCAAGGCCTGGCTTCTTTAAGAACAGATGTTCAGAAAGGCTCAGCAGACCAAGCTTGGACCAGGGGCCAGCGACAGGTGACTACCTCCAGTCCTGAGCATTATCAGGGCCTGCTGTTCACTCTGCCAAGAGAGATTAAAGTCAGGGGAGGTCTGCAGGTAGGGGGTCTGGAACCAGGTGAGAAACTGAGGCAGGGTGACTGCTATGCTGAGGCCCGGCCAGCCCTCTGGGACTGACCGTGCTGCCCTCCCTTTAAACTCGGATGATTCCGTGTGTGATCTTTGCAGCTGGGCCCTCGCTCTTGTAACGAGGCCTCGGGCTGACTCAGATCTCGTCGCGAGCAGCTGTGGGGTAGATCTGCTGAGACCGATGGAGTGATGCTGATAGACACCACCTGAAGATCGGCCCCACACCCCACAGCCCTGAGGGAGCTAATACAGCGAAGGGAAAGCAGCTGAATTCTTCTCCCAGCCAGGGTGAGAGTCACCTCTCTGCAGCTGCACAAGGACAAGGCCCGGCTTTGAGTCTATTTAGTTGGAGGGTTTAGTCGGGGTTGGGCTTTGCCCTAGACGAATTACCCAAACCGTCAGCGGAGATCAGCTCTTGCTCCCCTTCAGCCCCCCGTGGGCAGAGTTTTGTCACAAGGCAAAGTAAGTAGTTTCTTTCTTCTGCGTAGACCAAATGCAACTGGGGAGGGAATAAATGAAGCCCCTCTCCACAACGGCTATAAAAAAATCTCGCTGGGAGAACCCAGGGCTGGAACAGCTGGGGACTGGAATGGGTTGGAACGAGGGGCATCAGCAGAGCTGCATGTGGGGAGCCCAGGGGATGCAGAGGTGGGGCTACGGGTGGGGACTGAGATCTGCAATCAGAGCTGTGTGCTGTGAAATCTCCCGACACAACCGCCCCCCCCCCCGACGGAAGTACTGCTACAGGGCCACTTCAGAGCTCACAGACACTTGGTTGTCCAGTCTGAAACCCCTTATCTTGCAGGTTTGCCCCACATCCTGCCCATTAACATCCCTGAGGGTAGGGAAGGGGAATAGAAAAATTAGATGAGATCCTAAAGGGAAACACACCAGGAATATGCAAGAGGTCAAGATAGGCAGACTGCTATCTTTGAAACGTTCTCTAAATGTTTTAATGTTTGGGTCAAGGTCCTATAATCCATCACATCACGCACACTCCCTCGCCAGGGCTCCTCGTGAGACAATCTGTACAAAAAGATCCAGCCCCGTTCTGGCGATCATATAAATAATTCCCACTGAATTCAGACGTTCACAAGATGCTGCAGTTAGATTAACGGCAGGTAAAAGCCAGGTTTAGACAAGAATGAGAGGTGTGACAGGAATTTAGTATTTCTGTCTCAGCACAGAATCTGCTCCAATGAGTTAAATTACACCGGTGTAAATCCAGAGGCACCTCCCCAGACTCCAATTGGCCAAATTCTGATCCCAGATACACGTTTGCGAATTGAGTCGCTCCAGGGGAACTGGGCCAGATTCTGATCTCAGATACATCCGTGCAAATCCAGAGTCACCCCATTAACTCCAATGGTGGTGGGCAGAGTCTGATATCGGATACATTGGCGCACACAGCCAGAGTCAACCCACTGGGCTGGTGTATATCGGCATAACTTGGGCGGAGTTTTGCCAGTTTACACCGGCTGAGACGTGGCCCACTGACTTCAGTTAGGGCCAGATTCTGGTGTCTGTGGATTTGTTCCATTGAAGTCAGCACGACTCCAGCTTCCCAAGATTGCCCAGAGATCACAATCCAGTCCAGGTCCCGTAAGGAGCTCAGACATTTAACTCATTAATTACGGGCAACCTCCCCCCCGCCCTTCCCTCCCCAACCCCCGCAACTTCCTTCTCTATAAACTGGATCCAATGCCCATTGGACTCCATGGGGAGAACTTTGGTGACATCAAGGGGCTTTGGGTCAAGTCCTTAGTAGCCAGAAGTTAGGAGACCCGTGTTCAGTGTATATTGACGGAAGGGATGATTTGGTGAGGTAGTCACAATTCCAGCTGGAGTCTAGCGGAGCGAGGCACGGTCAGCCCCTCTGAAACCCAAGCCCTTCACTGAGTTATTTTAACAGAGTTCCTCCCTCCATCTCACCCTCCCGTCTCCAAGACCTCAGACCTTCAAGCAAG